ATGAATCAAACATGCACTTTATTTATTTCCACTAAATAACAAAAGTACATCAAATTAGATTGAAGCTAAGGGCATACATAAACTGTCTAACAGATTCAACCACCATACGAAGACCCAAGGATAGTGGATGTAAGACAAAACCCATAAGGTAATCAGCCATGTAATGGTCTCTTACACTTAACCTCTTGGCCCATAATGATCAATAACACTGCCCAACAGGGAAGGACCTCTCCCTTGGTTGCAAGGTGCAGTTCCACACTCTCTACTAAGATGGATCCCAGGATTAAAACCTTTTGCAAACCTTTTTCATAAACTACTAGTATATAACATATAAATACTTTTGCAAAACCAGATTTCAAACATAAGTGAAATCCACTGTCGATAGTTTAGGTTTCCATCAGAGAGAGTGTAAACCCTGATATTCACTTTGTCCGACAAAGGGGTCGATCCTATCACTATGATCACCCACTCAGTGAATTCTTAAATTGCCCCAACATACCCAGGTATTTGACCCTTAATGGATCTCACTGGTTGGCATATCAAAGACAACCCTATCAAACACCTAGTGTAGTACCATAACTAAGTTTGGGGTTATGTGTAACTTTCCAGTTTTGCCCATCTATCTCCAAGGTCCAAGGCATAATTGGAAATTGGTTCGGGTTCAATGCTTATAATAAACATCCACTAGTTGTGCTTGGGGTCTAACCCTAGCAGTTGAGACAAGCTGCTCCAACTCTTTGGTAGCACACCAGTGTCGGCCTTTTCAAGACAAATTCCCTAAGCCTATCCAATGGTTGAGAACATTCTAAACTAATATGAGTCTCTAAAGTGTCCAGTTTAAGGGGTAATACACAAAAACATACCAATATTAGCATGTAACAACAATGTACTCTATCCATTTACAAATAAATGTTTATGTACATTATTTTGATTGGAGATAAGGGCATACATTGTCTAACGGAGGTAAGGTCGTTTGTTGAGAAAGAAAAAGAATTCCCTGAACAAAGAAGAAAGTATATAGAAAGAATGAAAGATGATGGGAAATTTCATAGAGGAATCTCCAAAATTAAGGGTCACACAATAGGCAGGCATAATAATTGTATATGGATCTACATCATTCAAAACTTTGAAATGAGAATACCTCTAATCTTCAAAAGTTTCTCCTTTGCCTTTACTAGGGTAAAATACTTATAATCAAATACCTATCTACTATGCTCCATCCAAATGGGATGATAAAGAGTAAAGGACACAAATCTCCAAACGGCTATTCCTATAGGTCTAAGGCAAGGTTCAAAGTACCGATACGCAGAGAGGCGTCTCGGTACTTTGAATCACGCGGAAATATGTTTTTTTTTATTTATTTATTTTTTCAAAATTTGGTTTTGGGTAGTTTAATACCCATATTTTTCATTAGAAAATAGTGGGGTCCCGAAACACATGTAAACAGGCGTATCGGGACCCAAAAGATACGATACGATACGATACGCCCGATACGGAGCATATTGTATCGATTTTTTGAACCTTGGTCTAAGGTATTCCAACTTTGAGCTTCATCTCATGTTGAAAAATGACCTAAAGATATGTTATTAGTCTTCTACCATTTATTAAGTGATTGATCACTAGTATCTTGTCAAAATCCTCATTCTAAGGACACCTTGCATTTGATAGATGCTCTCCACAAAAACCAGTTTGGAAAGATAAATTGCATATTGACGCAAAGAATGAGGGAAAGGTCTAATTTGAAAAGCTGCCATTAAGTTCAGATATTCAAAATCTTGCATTTCTATCCTCCTAAAAAGAACATTTTATTGTTTTTATCTTTTCAAGTAATAACATCAATAGATCCACATCCTGATCATTCTAGCTTCTCCTAAAATGCTAAGATCAACTTCCTCCATAACCCTTCCCCAAAACCTTCGTAAGAGGTGTCTCTTCAGAGTACACATCAAAAAGTCTTGCTCTCCTTTCTTATTGTGTTAAAGGTCTTGGGTCTGAGTAGCAAGAGGTTTTTTTGTGTTAAGGTCTGGAAGGAGAAAGTTTGTATTCTAAGGGGTATGGAGGTTTTATTGTATTTAGGTCTTGAGTTTTTCTCCTTTCTTATTGTGGGTGAAATCTTATCACCTCTTGTAACTTTTCTTCTCTAATAAAATTTTTCCTTTTTATTTATCACCAAAAAGAGTCTTCTCTACCTACCCCCTACTTCAAGATTGAACCCTCCAAAGAAATAAAAAAATGACTTAGACAATCCCCTTCATATATGCTAGGTGTAAAGGAAAGCCTGGTGTCATTCCTATTCTGTTTCATGACATCAACCTATTGATAGTACGAGTGTAGTGTTAGTTCTATTTGGAAAGCCTTATATATCCGGGGAGAGGTACTCATGAATCATGATACATTCTGGGGAAGAGTTTGATTTGGCACATTTCCATGTTTCCACCGTATCACTCGTTCATCAATTGAAAGTTCCAGCCCAATGGCTGCTAGCTGAACAGGGTGTCTTTTCTTTTCATTTGTTACTTGGAAAAGAAAAACAAAATTTAATAACTGTATTTCATGCTCATCAAAAACTTTCCTGCATAGGGGAATAGCCTGGTAGAAGACAATATAAGGTTCATGTGAACGTCAGATATGAAAACCTGGCTAATCCAGAGTGTTGCCTGTTGAATAGACCAGACTAGCCACATGAATAGGGCATGCTCTTGAATATTACAGGATGTAAATGTCTAGGTTTTTGTTTTTTATCTTCATATCATCATATTTTTATGAAACATGTAATATTTATAGGGCATGCTCTATGAGGTTATTTCTTTGATATATTGTTTTGATAAATGAGTAAGATTTTATTAATCTAGCAAATAAGAGTTACATGCAACCCAAGGAAAGGCATGAGATGCGGCATTTCCTTAAAATTGGTCACAGAATTATAAGTTCAAATAAAATTACGAAGTAGCCCAAAATAAAGAAGCCTGATACCCCTGCTTTGCAAGTGAGTCAGCGATTGAGTTTGCTGATCTGCCTACCCACTAAACTCTAACTGTCATATTCCTTGTTAGCCATTTAACCTTTTTAAGGAGATCTCTATAACCCCAGATCACAGAATCCAGATCCTGCAACCAACCCACAATCACCTGGGAGTCCCCTTTAATAAGCAGATGCTCTATTCCTAGTTGGTTTGCAAGCTGGATTCATTGTACAGCAGCAAGTAATTCAGCCCTTAAAGAGTCTCCTAAACCTGCATGACCTGAATACAAAGATATAATACTACTATCTTTGTTTCTCAGCACACCTATGCCCGAAGGTCCAGGGTTACCTCGGCTACTCCCATTAAAGTTCAGCTTAATGAACTCCCCAGGTGGCATTCATTCTACTACAAATCTGTTCTTCCTCGTAGAAGTATTAACCACTGCTAACCAGCTCCTCTATAGGACATTGAAGGAGTAGGTGTCGAAGAGATTTAATGTTTTCAGCCACTGAATTGCCCATGTCATAATACAATCTTTAACTTCTGAAAAACTTCTTTCTTTTTCACAAAAAGTTCTGGTGTTCCTTTCTTCCCAAACAATCCACAAAATAGCTGCTCTTAAGCACTTCCACATAATTTTCCCTCTCTTTGTGTGCCATTCAAATGTAGATGAACTAAACAGCGAGCTAATATCAGATGGCAGGTTCCTCATTAATGAAACTGGAGATTTATAGTGAAGAAAGGAGAAATTAAAAAAGTGTGTAAACTAAGACCTACTAGTTCTCTTTATTCATATCACACTCATACAATGCCAGCCTCAGTAAATCACTTATTTTATGTCTTGGTTTGTAAAAGGCCATTGGATTTTGGCATTAAGTCAACTAAACCACTCCTGATGTTGCAGGTGATGGAGCTTGTGATAAAAGAAAACTTGGTCTTACAGGAGCGAAGAATCAGTTTATCTGAGTTCCATACTGCAGATGAGGTGCTTTTTTGGCTCTCTACTTTTAGTGGTTATCATTTTATTTACTTCTTGGACAAATAGAAGGTCAATTAGAATTCTAAACCAAATTTCTCTTATTATTTTGAGTTCTGTGTGAAACAAATGGATTCCAAACTTCTTTTCTTCTTCCTTTTTTGGAGCTAGGAAACATGCTCGTAGTCCTTGCCCATGTAGTAGTCCCATCTGTGATTTCTCCTTTGATGTTCTTTGTTAGATAATAATGCAGATACAGAACAGTTAGGGAGAAGGTAAATAATAATATCAGTTCTCTTTTTAAACCTTTTTAATTATGCAATTGTCCATCAATGACTTACGAGCTCCATTATAAATCAAATGTTCCAGGCAAAATAATCACCTATTGCACTAATTATTGCACATTTTAAAATGACTCCAAGATAATTTTAGTGCAATATGCTTATTAAGCACTGTCTGTCAATATGCTTATTAACCAATAATATGCTAGTCATGCTTTGTGGTGATCTCTTCCAAGGAAGTGACACAGGTATCGGTGATCTTGGACTTGTATTGGCATGGTTCATTCAGCATTTATCTCATGGAATACCTCAGTTCCTTTTTTTTCCATGCACTAAAGATCACCAATAACAAAATGTGGTGTATTTTTGCATGAACCCTTTATTTATTCAACATCAGTGTTTTTTGGCCTATTCAACATCAATTATGATGCAAATCTGCATGCTACTTCTCTCATGAATAGCCATTGGATATATGACAAGTATTGCATAATAATGCAGCTGTGGTAGCGTCGACTATTTAATGGGTATTCCTATGCAAATCTCCTGGGAGAAAATTCCATCTGATTGATGTCCTTTTAAGTAAATAGTTAAATGTGGGATGGTCAAAGTGATCTAAGGTTCTGCAATTTAATGAGTTAGGGGAATCAAGATTTGAAATAAATCTAAGTTATGGGGAATGAAGAGAAGAGTATTTGGCAAGGCCACTTTGACAATTCCATGGGTTTTTATAGGGGCTTACATGGGGAGGATTTTGGTACGTCTGTTAGAGCATTATATAGGTTTGGAAAATCAGGGTTTATGTCAACAAAAAATAAAATGCTGTCTTACTAATTTGATTAATAAGAGGCTTAGGGATGGAACACTCACTTAAATTAAAAATCCCCAATAAAAATTCAAGAAACAAATTTAATTGTAACAGTTAGGACTGATGACTTCTTCTCTCTGATTCCTTTGACTCAAGTCGTAACAGTTTTTAATACTAGGGTTGGGATAGATCTGCACCGGATTAGGAAGTCAACCCAAGAATCTTCCTTGGCAAGTTGAATTGGAGAGGGGGTGGCATCTATAGGTAGACAGTTGGAGATGGAAAGGAAAAAAGTTCAATGCAGCAAAGAGATTAAGAATGCTACAAGTGCTTGATTGGTTCAAGCTTTGAATTTTTTTAGTAGATAGAAAATTGGCTCAGGGGGAGCTGGCTCAGAGAAGAGTTTTAAGGTGTGTAAGAGGAGGGAAATCAAAGGGGGTTTTCATGGGGACATTGTGAGAATCAGATGGCAGCTACATCAAAGACAAAGTCCATATGGAATTTAAAAGATGTTTCATATTTGTCAGTCAAAGAAAAAGTCTTTGACACCACAAATCAGGGGAGTGCTCTTGATGTGTTGTGAAGGATGACTAAATTCAAGATTCTCTCATGAATAATCCTCTAGGCAAAGAGATAAAAGGAGACCGAAGTTGGATAAAGACAATGAAATTGGAAAGAAGAGTCAGGAGCCTGGTGTTTCTATATTGATGCTAACAAATTGTCAAGAAGGAAATTTTAATTTAAAGGTGGAGGTGGTTGACAAGGAAGTGCAGGCTAGTAAGAGTTTTGAGTTTTTTTTCCCTTTCCTTTTATGGGTGGGGAGGAGGAATTTGCCAGAAGGGTGTTTATGGACTTACAAATGAGAAAGCAGGTTTCGATACTTGATCCCAACTGTGAGGATCTCATGTGCCAGCGCACCGCAATCAGGATGATCTTGACGGAACAGATGAATAAGAAAGATGAAGATGATTTCTGGAGCATTTGGTTTTAGCTTGGTAATGTAGGATGGGTTAGGTTCATCCTACTAATTTAGGATATGGTGGCAGGCTTTATGGGGTGAATGAGGGGCTGTGGGGGTGATCAGAGTCTTAGAGATGAAGAATATGGAGGGAAAAGAAAGTAGGGTTCTTGTTGTGCACCAAAGAATGAGTAAGAAATTAGAAGAAAGAGGTGAACTCTTGCTGTTAGGGAGAACAGCAAAGAGAAAATAGAGAAATTGGGGGNAGGAGCAACAACCAGAATTCACTTAACCAATCTTTATTTAATCAAATCACGCTTCTTTAACTCGGATGCTCCCTTTCAGACTCCAATTTGGACTAGGAATTTGTCCCAACACAACTCCTAATTACTTTAGAACTAAGATTAATCCATAACTAACCCATTAGGACACTTAAATAAGGACTCCAACTCCTTAACAACTCTAATAACACTTTCCTAATCCAACGAAAGCTACTTTAATTTAAAGACACCAGAAATTACTAAAAATAGTAATTTATGAGAATTGCTATATATAGTAAGTCCAAGAGTTAACCATAAATAGTATTTTCAAAACAGCAATATAAATCTATAAAGGAAAAGTTGAGACATCAATGTACTGGTTCTTCCACATGGTCATGCATGTTATTGGTTCCAACCAAATGCAAGCTTGATCCCATGAACATCTATACATTCCAGACATTGTACTACTGTGCATTTTTTTTGGCAAACTGTATCCTCTAAGTGACAGCAAGAACACTTCACTTGCAGGTATGGACAACAGGAACCATGGGAGAACTCACCCCAGTAAGTTTTTTCCTCCTTTTTTTTCACCCCAGTAAATTAATGCAATGAAATATACAGACATCATTGTGAGTGTAAGATTTTCCTTGGTATACACATAAATTGATGATTCACTCTTTAAAAGAGTATAATTCATGCCTATCAAAAGTTCTAGTCTGAATACATTTGGCATACCCCAAATCCTGCATGGGTTTGCAATGATCAGCTCCAGTCTTGGGAAGGCAGGTTTGTCCTAGGGGGCATCAATGCTAATTTTGTCTAACCTCATATGAACATCAATCAGTTCAACTTTGGCCATCCAGAAAAAAGACTAAACTTATGTCCAGTATCACTAAGAAAGAAGAGAGCAACATGAAAAGTATTCCATTCTAGCTCAGTCGGGAGCCAGCAAGTTCAAAATCCAGTATGTGATAATATCAGGATAATCAGGCTGATTCAAGCCAAAACGACACCAACTCCTTCCTGAACTTCTTTAACACAACAAGATGGAATAAATCCTCATTTGTGGTTCCAAACACTTTATACTCCCTGACCACCTTAGAATCTAGCTGGCCCTACATGCATCCTGTTACGGAAACTTTCTACCTCACAATGCACTTCCTGACAATACTATAATTCTTCATTATAAATACTTCATAATCATGAATGAGAGTTTCTTTTACCAGGTTGTGATGATTGATGGGCGTGTCATTGGTGATGGAAAAGTAGGACCGGTGACTCGAAGACTGCAGAATGCTTATAAAAACCTTACAGCAGAAATAGGGGTGCCTATACCTACATATACTAGGATTTAAATGCCAAGCTTCATGGATTTGTAAGTTTTCTCCCACATTCCCCTCGCATTCTTGAATGTATTTGAACTCAAAGATCATATTTATAAATAATGGACAAGAATTCATCATTTTCTTTCCCTAACAAGCAAATTTTTATAATGATCTACAATTTAGCATCTATTACAAAATATGGTTATGGTATCATGAATAATTTTGTAAAAATATGAAAAAGAAAGTTGGAAAAATGGGGAAGGTTGTCCATTATAATCTTTTTCTCAAGTTACAAATAAAAGTCCATTGTACTTGAGACATTTTTTAAATACATGAAATTCTGGCACTTCACTGAGACTTGATAAAAGAAAATGTTGCAAAATGTAGGGATTTTTTTTGCAGTTTTAACACATTATTTTTTAGTATTTACTAACAGATAAGTTTTCTATATGCATCCCATTAACACTTCAATTTCTGGTTTTCTTATCTTTCTTTGTTTTAGTGCAACCGTGGAATGATCAAAATCTCTCATAAATGGTTAAAAACAGAAGATGGTTGAAGGAGTTTGTGCTTCTTCCTCAATGAGTATAGATCGCACCAATCAGTACATGGTATTTTTAATAGATTAAAAAATAAAACTTCTTGAGCAGCTCAAACAAGCAACACCAAAACAACCTTTTCTTTGATTTCCAAAAACCAATTCCATCAATTACTAGTGTGACTGCATGCCTAGATCTCGTATGGAGAGATTTTCTCAGCCTCGAAGAATCACACTCGAAATATACCAAAATTTTGACTCACTTCACGATTCCAGAATGATTCTTTTAAGTCATGAAATCAATCCTTCCAATTGCAAATTTTTCATTTTAGTTAATAAAATATCCTAAGATAACAACTCCCGACTATTTGGTCCTGACTAAAAGAAAACTCCATATAAAAAATCCTATCAAAATTCTACCGTTGTTTGGGAATAGGGGTCTGGAATCAGAATTGGAATGGGTTATTCCAATTCCAACTGTTTGGTTGGGCAAAATTGGAATCTCATTCTCATTCATGATGGAATGGTATTCCCTCTCCCTTGGGAATGAAATCTCATTCCGGTGATTCTAATCCCCATCCTGATTCCTGTCTGAAGACTCTGAACCAAATAGACTATAGTAATAGACCATTCATATTCTGATTCCAAAGGATTTTGATTCTGATTCTGGTTACAAACCAAACAAACCTTTAATTCCTGCAGTTTTGGTGTTATTGGATTGCTAATTGAATAACCAGGAAAAAAATCTGATTGCAAATTTAAACCACAATTAGAATGATACACCTAAAGCGTTTTTTGTTTTTTTTTTTTTTAACTTTGGCTTCTGGTTGAGGCTCTTTGAGAAATGAACTTCAACATAAATTAATTTGCATCCAACACTGTTTTCTTTACAGAATTGTTTAAAATGTTAAAATATTTATCGTATATTTTGTTATCTATTTTTTGCTCTTTATTAATTTTAAATAGGTAAATATTTACGGGATTACCTGAACTTCTAGCTAAATTTCCTCGATAGTTTTAATCCAAAATATGGTGGTTTCAAATATGTTCACCCAAAATTGGAGAAACCAGAAACAATGGCTGCATCGCAATTGTAAGGAAGCACATGCTGAATAACAGTTCCACCGGGCTTTCTCTGCATGACACCTTAGCCTAAATTACAGGTTGATGAATTCAAGGCTTAATTTGGAAAGAATACAAATGTACAATGCAAATACAACTTTCTCACAGCCCCATATACTGAGAATATCTCTGTATGAATAAAAATATATTAGTACGAAAATATTCTTAATGCACGGCTATAATTCGCTGTAAGGATTAAATCTGATTTTCTAGTTGAATGGGTGATGGGTCAAAGCTTAATATCATTAGGGAGCACGGTTCAAAGTATTAATACTCACAATAGACAAATTGTTTTGTCTGACTGTGAAACCCCACTCAACCACAATCCCCACTATTTGTTTATGCTTTTATGGTCAGTCAAAGTTTTTGCAATTAATTGCAGCCGGCTAAAAATGTAGCTTCGCTGCTTCAGTTCTGTTTGGGAATAGTGTGAATACAAATATATTGAGTGCAAATACAAGGTTTAAAAATACAGATAAGAACATATTTGTATGTTTGTATTTGCACCCTTCCCAAATGGACTCAACTCAAATGAGCTTACGAGAGAATTCAGTTGATAGTGAGCATTGATCCTATGAAGATACAGACCAGTTTTTATTACATTTGATAATACATCTGCCGACCTTCCAATAAAAACACAGACAGCATCCTCTGATCCACAGCATATGTGAACTGATTAAGATGCTGATGATCAAGGTGTTGACTGAAGAAACAAAACATCACGTGCCATTGATCCTCCCTTTATTTTTTGGTTTTGAGGATGGGGGCTTGGCAAAATACATTAGCTTGGTCAGGTGATCTATTTTTGTTCAGGAATCAAGTAAACGAGAAAAAAAAAAAAGAAAAACTTTGCATTAACTCCCAAAATGGTCAAATTTGGGGGAGGTGGTTTGGCAAATTGGTGAGGCATATGTCTCGTACAAGTAGGTGTTTGGCATCAGTGCTGGGAATACTGCACCGTTTTTCTCGGAAAACGGTGCTAGGCGTGTGAAGTCGTAAGAGAAAATGGTGTTTTTTTTTGAAACCGGTGCTGCCACAGGCTGTATTCTCACTAGCTTTTTGGTAGCAGTGCTGGCAGCAACATTTTCGACATGGTCTATATTATCCAACGTTCACATTGATGTCACATCATTACACCACTGGTAGCAATGCACCGTTTTCTAAAAAAATATTGAATTTGGCATTGCTCTAGATCACACTTTTCCGATTTCTAAGACAATCTAAAGTAACGTTTTTTTCTGGAAAAATAGTACCAAGCAAGAGAGTTACTTGACGCACCGTCTCAAAGCTTACACCTCACCTATTTCATGCCCAACTGCCTCACCTCTGCCTTTGGCCTTTTAAAACCTTGAAGAATATTTCCATGAGTGGTTGGATCTTGTGAGGACCTATTTGGGAGCTGAACTATGCTTTGAAGCACTGTGGACTCGGTATAAGCTTATTCAAAGAGGCTGAAGCGGAACGTCCCATTGGAAGGCAAGATATTAATACTTGTAGTCCATAAACGTTCTCCTTTAAATAAAGAGGCATGCCATTTCCCAGCTGATCCAGCAGAAATATGGGTAAAAGATATAAAACCCTTTTCAATATTGTATGTGTAAAAAAAAAAAAACAGAAACTTCAGTAATATTCAAAGACCAATGTTTCCAAGGAAAAGTGCAAGATACAGTAATGCTAAGCAGTGATGCACACATGTGGCTAATCCAAATGGCCTCCTGTAAGATTAATGTTCTGATCCATCAGCTTTGAATGTAACAAAAGCTTTCTCTTTACAATTAGGAATGGCGGTGCACTTTAACCAATGAAAATTGCATATCAGTAGGGGCCTGCAATGGTAAGATCTGTGGCTAACATAAGAATGTGGTTTCAGGTTTTGAGAGCAGCCACTTTGTGGCCCAATTTAAAATTGCATATCATCCAATACTTGACAACGAAATTTTGCAAAAATAAAAAATAAAAAAGGCACTTCTGACATTATACAGTAATCAAATGCCACACGTAATTTTGTGAATAGATGAAAGTCAATAATACATCTTCGGATGTATCATGATGCAAATTATTAAGTTAAGCGCCATCCAGTTAAATGACTGGAAATGCCCATTTAGGGGATTCTCAAATTATCACCAATTTGCTCCCTGCAAACAAGATTAAAAAACATGTGGGGTAAAAGACTGAAAATGAAAGAAATTAAAAGACTGGAAACCATTTAAGATAAGATGCAACCTGTAAGAAACTGAGGTCCGATGCTTCTTTCATCATAATACTTAGAAGGCAGATTGTCTTGTATATGTCCGGCATACTCTTTTTCTTTTGCACGTCCACTGGCATATACGATCTGGCAGGTACAGTTGACTATTGCAATACAGCAGGAAAGTTAACTTTCATGAATTGTATTGATATAACACTCCAGCGGGGCAGACCATGTAAAGGAAAATGATGAGAACTTACCCAAGGCTAAGCCAGAATCAGGTTAAAAAGAATTCAGACAGAAAAGCACCACCTATTAAAGCAACAAGGCATAACAATGAAATTATATCTTCCATCCCAAGGGATGAATCTGATGAGTCTGATAAGAGATAAATCTTGTGATAGTTGCTTTTCCCTCGGAACCCTCTAACAATCATTGCCTGTAAAATCCATAATTAGGAGATCAGGAGAACTTTTGGATGGGCAGGCCAATTGGTATAGTGGCAATTGTGATTCCATCACTCAGCAACCAGCAAGAAGACACCTTATGTCAATAGCATAATTCTGATGGAAATTTGGCAGTTTAAGGTCCAATTAAAGTGCCTTGTTTTTTTTTTCCGGAAAGGTAAAAGTCAAAAGTATTTTGTTGAAGAGCTGTAGACAATTACAATGATGAGATGTAAAAGCAAAGTCCACTACAAAACTGTACAAACAAACTGCTATACAAGCTTTCTATGGCAATAAGGACTCGCTAAACACTGTACCCAGTTTACCACCAACCTTGCTAACTGCTAAAGTTGTATGACACATGACTTAACAACCTTGGAATCCATCTCAAAATCATAAAGCATAAAGTTGGAAGCAAGGTTCTAAATATCGATTGTATCAGCCTGTATCAGTGCTTTTTGTTGTGTTTTATTTATTTATTTTTAAACCAGTTCAGAGGGGTCAGTTTAAGTCCCGGCTACCCTCTGAACCATGGCCTGACCCGATACACCCCCTGTAGGGGCGTATTGGGAAGGCCCCAATACGATATGTATCGGCTGATACGTGACGAAATTTTGAGCCTTGGTTGGAAGCTATCTGATTTGATGAAGTAAGACAATCTTCATGGTCCTCTTCCAAAGCCTTTACCCCATCTGATTGCATTAGAAGAATCTCTTATTTAGGAGAGAATACAGTCCAATGCAGCAACCCTAAGACCAAAAATAAAGTGTGGCATGGAAAGACTCCCCTATGGGTTAAGGCTTGCTGCATTGAGAAGAACTGGGATAACACAGTCCAAGACCATATTTGTTGGTGAAGCCAGTCTTGTCAACGTAGCAACCTAAGAGGAATACTAACCCAGCAAATATGCAAACCTTCAGTTTTGATGGATAGAGCCTAAAAAGAACCAACCTGGGAGATTTGCTCAGCATGACTGAAAATATTTTTGAAGATTCGACGAACATATATGACATAAACTGCAAGAGAAAAAGAATACATTGAAAAACTTCTAAAAGACAGAAAGCAAAAATAATTAGCTATTGATTGGTACGGATTTTTTATGTCTCTTGTGATCATGATATTTGTATATTTGCATACTTTCTATTTCTTCTTTTAAGAAGTAAAGTTTCTGCTTTTATTGTTAGCTACTAAAAAAAGGAAGATGGAGAAAGAAGTATTAAGTTATTATCGTAAGGAAACCAAGAAACTTCTTTCTTTTCTATTTCTGTATGTTTCTCAAGGGGTTAAAAGGGTTTGGTCTAGGTAGTAAAGAAAGATTTGAAGACTTGTGCTTTCAATAGAAAATATAACATGGAAGGGCAGAATATGATTCCTGTACATGATCACAAACAGCTGGTGCAAGGCTTGGACAACAATGACAGTGATGACATGAATAATGTTGATGTTGTTGATGATGATGATGATTGCAATCAAAACTTACTATCAATAGTTTCCATTACTGTCAACTGCCTCCATTTTATCCTACGAGCTACAATCCCCAATGCAGCATTGCGGACCTGCCAATGGTATATGAATAATTCAAGAGCAAATCATTGATTTAAAGATTTTCTCCAATATAAGTGTTCAAATTACCAAAAGAGATGAAAAGTTCTATAGAAAGATGATATTATGAAAGTTTCTTAAAAAGGCACCTACTCAACTATCTTACCTCATCAAAAACTAGATTGACGAACCTCAATGAAAGTAGTAGGGTAAGGATAATTTCAGCCACTGGAGCACCAATGCACGCCAAGGGGTGCATAAACCACCCAAAAGCAGATGCAAGTTGCTCTGGAGTTGTGGTTGTCAAGCAGAGGCTCGCACTTTGAAAGATCTTTCATGAAAAAAAAAAAGAGAAAAAGGAAAAAAAAAGGTATAGGTCTCAGAATGTTATAGCAACTAATTGACCAAAACTGATCAAAACTTTCTTTCAGAATTAACTAGAATTTAGTCTATAAACAAGTGCCTCATTATGAGTTCAAAAATCAAAAGAACCGAGACTGTAGAAGGAAATAAAAACATACAGTGAAGGTAAGACATGCAGATGTGCTTGCTACTGATAGGCCTTTCCTCGTAAGCTGTAGTGGCCCTAGTTTCATAACCAAATATGAATAACCTCCCAAAGACATAGGGATATCAGGTAATCCCACCATAGCTGCAGGTGGGGTTCTTAACTGCACCAGAGGAGGCACACCATCTGAGCCGAATCCCAGCATTAGAAATAAAAACCCAGAGAGAAGGCCCACTCTTCCCAATTGATCCTACAAAAAGGCATTGAAATGTATTCATCACTATTATAGAAATAGAAAGAAAAGAAAAGGCTAAAAAAGTGATAGCAAAGCCAATATAATTCTCAACTCAAACAAGTCAGAGCAATGTCCAGGTATTACCCACTTCACCCAAGTTTAACCAACTCATCCTACTCCTACAAGATTTCCCAAATGTCAATAACAAGATTTTACCACTTTTGTGACTTGTAAGATCAATTTTGTGGAAATTTCACCACAATGTAAGGATTATGATGTGAGATGCAGAACAGGTGGAGTTGTTTACATCCTAGAACTGCTCAAGCTTCATTGGCTACTTAAGGGACAGACTTACCATCCACACATGCTTAGGGAGAATCCAAATTGATAGAAGAGCCAAATATATGACTAATCCAAAGCGCATAACTATATGTGATCTGGCAGGTAAAGCAACAAGAGCCAGAAGCCATACCTGCAAAATGGAGAACAGTCATAAAAATAGGACAAATTCAAATACTTATTCACAAAGGTGTTTATCATCAGGCATAACTATAGACCTAGATAGAGTCCAGTAAAGTACTAAAGCGTAGAAATTTCAAATATACAACTGATTGAAAAAAAAAAACTATAGAGAAAATCTTGATTAAAACTTGGGCCAAGGACTTCTATAAATGTTTTTGTCGATTCAACTGATACAATAGATAAACCAGAGAGGCCAATAAACTTAATCCAATACCAGAAAGAAAAACAACCTAATTTGGGATGAAATAAATGATCACCACTCCCAACCAAAATAAAATAAAATTTAAAACTCAAAATAAATCCAGAAAATATAACTCCAATCAATTAAGTTGACCACTAAGTCAATAGGCCATAAAACGAGAGAAAGTATATTGAGATAGTTTGATCATGAGCATAGAAGACCATCTACAGAAAAAATGGCCTGTTACAAGTTGAAGGAGCTTTCGGTCTTCTGTGGAAGTAATAAGAAATTATCTAAGCGCCCATAACTTAAGCATGGATATGGCACCGAACAAAAACATAATGGTGAAATAGGATTCATCTCGCCGACCCCATATATTTGGGACAAGGCTTAGTCGCTTAGATGAAGATGACTACGCCATAATTGAATAAAAGAAGCAACCCAAAATAACGAAAATCAAACTCATGATTCACAATCACCAATTTTCCAGCATTGAAAAAGAAAAAAAAAATATAATAAACAACAAAAAAAACCACACCGTCAAATTTCACCCTCAACCATCACAGTGAAATAAAAATAAGTATAAGGAGTTGTAAAGAATAAGAAGAGTGCGAACATTACCAACTTGATTCTGGGGTCGACCGAATGCAAAAACGTGGTGGGCGAGGATACGAACTGGCAAATGGGACTGGAAGTTGCACCGGAAATTAGTCTAAAAATTTTCTCTGCTACTGCTCCTTTCGGAACAAACTTCCCCCATCTTCCCGTTTCACCGGGATCATGTGTCGAACTCCGAATTTCTAACTTCCTCCTCTTCAATGGTTTAAGGGTTTTCTTCCATGAGAGCTGTGTATTAGGCCTTGAGCGATTCAAGGAAAATCGAGGTCTGGGACTTACGGAAATAAGATTTTTGCTTGTATAATTTGCAGAAAGAGATGGAGATAAAACCGTGGGGAAGACATGTATTCTGCAGCTCATGAGTGCCAGGCTCCCAGTTGAGTTGGATTTTGAGAGGTAAGACCAGAGTATAGACGAGTTTATCGGGATCTTTACTTGCTGTCAAATGGCGGGAATTTGTTGAAGATTCATCGTACAAGGGAAAGAAGCCACCTAACTGGCCATACGAACAAGGGTCTAGGATGATGTTTGGCAACATTGCTGATTCTTCCTTGTCGATATTTTCAGAAACCGCTGATTTCTAAAATGGGTGATTTTTCAAAAATCATCAATTTTTGTTGTTGTTGGGTACCATTTCTGCCATGTGAGCAGGCAATGAATTTGTTAGTAGTGATTCTCAAGGTGATGGGATCTGCTCTTCACACCCACATCCCACCGTCTCGCATGAATAATAATTTATATGTATGGGAGATATTTCCCATGTATCACTGGAACATGATGTTGTAAGATCGGTGTAAGGAGCAGATTCGGACTCATTCTCAAGAGTAATTTCTTTCATGAAGTGAATCTCTCCAATGGCATACATCTGATGCCATGTCATTCATGAGAAATTGTAATTGGTTGAAAATTGGGAAATCATAAAAGATGGTAATTCCTCATCCAGGACTATTCAATGAAATCAACCAACCAAACAGTGGATTCATCGCTGAACACTGATTCTTGATTCACAAACATGATCTCGATGCAACCGCAGATGTTTTTATTAGTTCATGTTTTATAAAGCCTAATTGAAATCAGAATGGCCCGCTGGCCCCATAACATTCTCCATTTGAGGGAATGGTCATTCCCTCCCCCTCCCATGGGTATGAGATCACGTTCCTGCCAATTCCAACTCCAATTTTGATCTCCATCAGAACCAAACAAGTTGTGAGGATAGACCATTCTGATAATTTGATCACTTGTCAATGAGTTCATTATATTCATTAATATTTACTACACGTTTAAATACTCTTACTTTTAATTGATTCAATTTTATAAAATATATTTTTTCGTTTAATAAATCAACCAATCACATCTTTTGTTGGCAATTGGCACCATAGATTTTGCCCTAATAATCACTTATTTTATTCGTTTCAAACATTAGTAGAAAGTAGAAACAGCCGAGACATTGGTCCAGTGTTGAATCAAAACCAGTGACATAACAGCTAGCATTTTCAATCTCACACTCTTCCTCCACTGGTTCTGTGTCGATCAACCATATAAAGTAATTGTGTACCGCTGAGAACGATTGTTAACACTTCCATACTCCGCTGCAAATTCAACACACACAGTGATGACATAAAAAGTCGGAAGCATACAAAAATCAACGTGAATTGTTTTTCTTGAATCGGTTTCAAACACAAATCAAAACCATCTGATTTGAGAATAGATTGCCGGTTTCAGTTGTACATTTTTTTTGTTTTCAAAATCGAAACCAAAAACATGTGATTGAATCTTGTTTTAAAAACATGTTTTTGTCTGATTATTTAACATCACATTCTATAAATCATATAATTTCTATATTAAAAAAATTGTTTTTGTTTTAAAAACCATTATTTTATTGGTTATAAAAACACGTATTGTTTTTTGAAACAAAGCCAACTTATTTTATCCTTTGAAAACAAAAACAGAGTTCAAGAATTGGCTTTTGGTTTTTTTGCTGATGTGGCAATTCAAAAACATTTATGAGTCTCCTTAAATGCTCCACCAAATTTTATCCCTCCTTCCTTCTCACTGGTTTGATTAGAAAATTAACTTTTGATTTTGGCTATAGATTACAATTGGGGAAAATTTTCGATTACTACCCTGTAATTTGTGGCTAATGCCATTTTAGTCCAAAACTTTAAAATGTGACAATTCACCACCCAAACTTTCAAAACATGACAATCCAGTACCTGCCATTAATCAGCAGTTGACCTGCTGTTAAGTGATGTTTGAAAAGGATGCAAATGCCCTCCGAGTGCCATTTAATTTTCTTTATCAACCATCTAAAGTTCTAAACGTTGACAAAAAATTAATAGTCTCAAATCCTTCCTTCTTCCATTCAAGAAAGTTGGGGTTACATTTGAGTGGGCATTCTTGTGACCCCAACTTTCTTGAATATAAGAGGCAAGGATTTTGGACTATTAATTTTTTTGTCAATGTTTGGATAGTTGATAAAGAAAATTAGATGACACTCGAAGGGCATTTGTGTCTTTTTCAAATGGCATTTAACGGCTGATTAACAGCTACTTAACGACAGGTACTGGTTTGTCACGTTTTGACAATTCGGGTACTGAATTGCCACATTTTAAAGTTCGGGGACCAAAGTGACACTAGACCCAAGGGTACTAATCGGGAATTTTCCCTTACATTTATTTTGAATAGAAATCAGGTTAGAATTACTTCCTATATGTAATCTCTTAGGTGATGTTTGGCATCAATGCTGATTTCTTAGAAATTGGTGCCACATCGGATCCATGTCAGAAATTGAAAAATCAGTGATTTTTCCTTGTTTAGTTGGTCGATTATACGGATTTCTGGGAAATCAGCAAAAAATCGATCCTTGAAACCATCGGATCCACATTCAATGATTCCCCAATTTTCAGGCGATTTCGATTTTTGTTGGGTGAGGTGGCATCCTATGTGGCAAGGACAAGAAGGTGTTCAGTGTTTCAATGAAAAATAATCACTCTTGAAAATCAATATCAAACAATCTCAAAAGTGATTTCTAAAATATCGGTTGACATGGAGGAAGTTATACCAAATAACAAAAAAAGAGTGATTTTTGGAAAATCATTGATTTTAGTAATCACTGTTTTTCACAAAATCAGGTGTAAAGAATCACCATTGATGCCAAACATCACCCTAGTAAAGTTAAATCCAAAGGTCTTTCTCCAATTTCCATTCCTCATAAAAAAAAAAAATTGTTTTACAAAGCAGGTTTGCATCATTTTCAAGCATTCCATGGGCTTTGTTGGTTTGTAGTGCAATTTAATTTGCATTATAGCTCAGTTTGGAAGGAGTATAAATATAAATATGTAGAATGCAAAACCTTATATTTTATATGTATTTGTATTATACATATTTATATTTTTACTCCTTCCAAACTGAGCCAATACAAAAAAAAAATGCAAATTCTGATCTTTTTGTTTTTATTTTCACTTTATTTTGCTGTAGGTTTTATTTAACTCTATCTGCACTTCCGCCAAACAAATAAAATCATTTGCACCAATTTAAATAAATTGCACTGCAAATAAACTAGGTTTGGTGTTTCTGCTTTGTATCGCTTTGTATCAGTAAGTGGAGTACTTACCAAGTTTGTATCGCTCCAGCCTATATCAATCTCTTTACATGCCAATCTGCAACATAAATAATATTCCATCTGCTTTATGTTACCTTCAAGCCTCCAACACCAAAATGTAAAGAAGCAATCAACAGGATCAGTGGGTGGGTAGGGAGGCAAATGCTTTGACTGATTATCTTGCTAAACATGGGGCTATTAGGGATCTTTTATTTTGGCAACATTGTAAAATTTTTCTGATCTTTTGTAATGGTTAGGGGAGGCTGCATCTGGTGCCTCTCCAAGGGTTTCTTGTAAAATCTTATTCCTATTATTTAATGAAATCATTTTCAGTTAAAAAAAAAAAACAAGATCAAAATATCGATATCCAAGGTCATGGGCAAGGATCAAAATTTTGATGCCATACCTATAGCGGGTCTATCATATCATATCTTTTAAAAAACAAATATATAAAAATCAATTTAAAAAAAACTAAAAAAATATAAAAGTGCATGGCTTTTAGGTATTGATACTTTGAACGTAAAAAAAAAACCTTGGTTATGGGGATTCATAGATACACCAATGCACATAGGGGGGGTTGAAAACTTGGGAATCATAAAAGTAGGGATGAGCAAAAGAAAAACCGAAAAACTAAAATAGAAAACCGGTTGGGTTTTGGTTAGCCAAAATAGAAAACCGGTGGCTAACCGAACCGAATGGTATACATATAGTTATATTATATATATATTTTATATTTTCTATACATTATAAATTAATAAATATGCATTATATATAAATATATATTTATAATATATTATTTATTATTTATTATTTAAAATATAATATTATATTTATTTCTAGAATTTTATTATATATTTATATATTTTTCTATAATAAATATTGTAAATAATAAAAAACCAAAAAACCGACGAACCAAACTGAGTTAACTGAACCAATTAACCAGTTAATCGATCGGCTTTGATTCGATTTCGCTTACCGATAATCCCGATTCGGTTTCAAAAATTAGCCCACAATTCGATTAACTGAGCCATGAGAACCTCTACATAAAAGGCATCTCTCTCATGCAAATAAAAGTAAAAAAATAAACAAATAAACAAATATTGGTCTGATGCACCACTACTTAATTTTTGGTATCATTGGTATCAACCATAATGATATTTTGATCATTGATGCAATAGAAGCGAAGTTTAAAAATAAAAGAGAACACATACCCCATGGCTAGAAGGGTGAGGGCCCAGGTGAGAATAGAAGAAGTGGCACTGAGAGTACGCTGGCCACATTCCACTGAATGACATTATTGATCCCAGAAATTGAGGTGGCAACACCCACAAGTCCAGCTATGAGAGAGACAATGACAAAGAAGCCTGTTGCCATGTTTCCAATTGGAAAATATATTGGAAATAGGTGGGCTGGGATTGATACTACATATGCAAGAGAGAATAATTAGCATATATGGTCATTAATTTCAAAAAATTAAATAAAAACCCAAGAGCTCGTATCTGCTACCCACATAGGTACCCACAAGACACTTGTTGTGCACCCGAAACACCTTCCCAAGAATGACAACTGAGATGTTCCCAATGTGTCTGGTTGTGGTATCTAGTGAGTAGGTTTTTGTGAATAGAGGTGTGGGTAGTAGATAAGCAGATCCGGATTCCACTCATAATCCTCCATACTAGGGGTGGTCACAAGTCGAGCTTTTCATGAGCTATTCGAGTTTGTGTCGTGAAAAGCTCAGTTCGGCTTGATTTTAACCAAGTTTTAGCTCAATTTACAAACTCATTTATTAATCGAGCCGAGCTCGAATAGATAATAATAATAATAAAATTATAGAAAATAATATATATAATAAAAATATTATATATAATATTTTAATTTTTATATATAATAATAACTAATTATTATAATTCTTAATTTTATAAATATCAAATAAAAAAAATTTTTTATATAAATTTTTTATAAAACGTTTTTCTCAAGTCGAGCTTGAGCCGAGCCGAGCTCGAACCAAGCTCAAGCCTCGTACTACCTTGGTGAGCCGAGCTTGAATAGCTAGCTATTCGACTCG